GACCAATCAAGAGTGCCCTGACAGATTAGCATATATGGCCTAAAATATATAAAATATTCAAAAAGTTGCCTACTAAATATAACGAATATATCAAAGTTACGTATGACAACAGCGTAGATAACTTTGGACAAAAGCAAAGAAGTCAAGATCAACAAAGGAGGCTCTTTATGACCGGCTTGACCAGGCAAATGGACATGTATGGCCTCGGGCAATAGCGTACGACCCCTGGACAGCGTGATGAACTTTAAAATCTCCCCAATCACCACCATCTCCATCAGCTAATAATGATTTTGCCCAGCTTAGAGGCCCTTCACTTTCACTTACGTGTTCTTGACAGTTGCTTGTTCACTTGACTTGTTCTTGGTCGACTGGGGGTCCAAAGAATGCAATTTTGTCGTGTTTGTGTCTAAACGAGAACTTCCAATCGGCCGGTTATGGCCCCCTTCGGGGCCTATGGGGCCCTTTCGGGACCCCAGCGAGAGGCATGGCCCAGTGGCGCCCACATGGATCTGCCGCTTGTTTTGACCTGTTCTGCTCGCCTCGTTGCGCACTAAAAGGTAAATTACCCACCGGGAGGAAAACGCTGTTTAACACGGTGATCAAGCGGGCGCAAGTCATTTTTCCTCAAGCGCAGAAATACTGCAACGATGCCTCCGGAATGACGAGGCAGTTTTTACCACAAGTGATTGCACTAATTGACGTGCTTCCGGAGAGAAAAAACAGATTGGCTCGCATATTACAGCGCTTCATGGGTTTTGAGAATGTACGCCAATCCAATGGCAAAAATGATTGCCTACCAATCTTTCTTTATACTAAAATATCTTTCATCATACTAAACTTGATGCAGCCTAAATCCGTCACAGCAAAGTTTAAAAACGTAACAATAGCAACAAGTGAGCCTATTTCATCACATCTGATACCCTCTTCAATGTTTTTTAGCGTGAAACATTCCCTTAAACACATTTTGAAAGGCTGTTTTTTATAACCCGGACTAATATGAGGTCGATGCCCCTCCCCCCTGGCATTTCCACACTCATGAAGATAGGGCTTAGCGGAAAACACCAATGGATTTCTTTGTCGACGAGATATCGCTATTGGTGCTATTTTGAATGTTGTAAGGTCAATAATTGGCACCATTTTGTAAGTCAACGGCCAAATTTTTAGGAAAATTGTATGCTTTAACTTCACATAATCATATATACAAGACCATGCTTTTTGACCATACCATACCAAATTTGCTTTATTAATTTGCATACCATGCTTTTTGACCATAACAAATTTAAATAGGTGTGTTCCTTGTTCATTTCTGAGTAAAATAGTGTATAGTTCAATGCGTATAGAGCATAAATTTATCATATATTGCTCTAGTCAGTAGTCTCATACTACATTGAACACCCCCTTCCACGTTTATCTAGTATCGCCTATGGCAAATTCTCAGATGGCAGCGCTATCGTTAGAATCAGTCAGGAGGGGATGGCTGCGCTACACTGGTCTTTAGGTCGATGGACGTTTGTTACACCGTTTTACCCAGTGACTCTCTGCACAAAAGGACGCATTAGCGTTCAAGGAGAGCGCCCAGCATGGCTCAATGCCCCCCCCCCCCCGCCCATTTCCTGAACATACTACTACATGAATGAAAAGGCTGCACATATTTCCGTTCCAAATGATTAAAGTAAGACACTGGAACAACATAAACTGCAAATCCAGCAGCTGTATTTTAGACACCCCTTTCTGGAGTGTCTGTAAACGTTATTGATTTCATTTGGACGGAATCTATGATAAATTCCATGAAATTGCATACCATTGTTTGTTGAACGACACCTAAACGTACATGATGCAAATAATGCCTCCGCGGAGAATGAAAAATTCCTACTCATTTGTTTGGCGTATTCGCCCATGGCAAAAACAAACGCATTCTTGATTAACAGAATAATAGCACGTAGCGCAAGTAATCGAGCGCCGTTTTTAGGAAGCAAATCCGTCGAGTGGTTTTCGAGATACAAAGCGGGAGGCCGATTAAGTCACGTGGTGGCTAAATCGGCTTTCTTCTTGCTCTTCATGGCATGGCATGCTCTTCTTCAAAACGACCTCCTTCTCCTGGTAATTACACCTGAATGCCCTGCCCCGTCGACTATCAGCGTGCTTGTGGTGCCCGCTCATGTAGCGCCACGTGTCGTCCAGAATAGGTCGCGGGCGGCCTGACGAGGACCCCGGCTGGAGCGTCACGTGTCGTCCAGGATAGGTCGCGGGCGGCCTGACGAGGACCCCGGCTGGAGCGTCACGTGTCGTCCAGGATAGGTCGTGGGCGGCCTGACGAGGACCCCGGCTGGAGGGCCACGTGTCGTCCAGGATAGGTCGTGGATGGCCTGACGAGGACCCAGGCTGGGGCGTCACGTGTCGTCCAGGATAGGTCGCGGGCGGCCTGACGAGGACCCCGGCTGGAGGGCCACGTGTCGTCCAGGATAGGTCGTGGGAGCCTGACGAGGACACCGGCTGGAAATCCCGGCCGTCAGTGATTGGTTCTTTGTTGGGTCGTCCCAGCCTACCCCGCCGTGGCCCGCCGGCGGTACCTGGGGGTGAACCCCTCGCCGCCCCCCCCCCCCCCCTGTACTGTTCTCCGAGGCACTGTTGAGCGCTGCTTCACGTCTGACCTTGCAAGTATCATGTGAAGTAGTAAAACGTAAAGGATTTCAGTAATGACAGTGGAAACCAGCTAAACGACGCATTGCGCTGGAAAAAAATGGCATGAGGGCAGCAACGCGAATTTGAGGGGTTTAAGCCCCCCCCCCCCCCCCTCTCTCTCCTAGGTCCAGTCACTTGCAGCTCAACTCTCCGAAAATAACAAAGAGCGTTCCCAACTAAAGTTGAAGTTTTGCAAGACCACTGGGCGGATGGGTTTGCCCGGAGCTGATTTACTTGATGTCTCAAAATATGGGTTTTTCGCTGACTCAGGCCGCTTTGTTTGACCTTTTGTAAAAAACGCTTCACCGTTGGTTCGGATTTTTCGCTCGCGTGTGTGCACTTTATTTCAGGTGCACGACTTCACGGGTTGGATAAGCTCATGGGTACCGTATGCAGTAGCCATTGGGTCGGGCCGGGTATATGTTTTGGGGGGAATGATAGTTATTGGTACAGGTATGGCTTTGCAAAATTTCTGGTAGATGCTTCAAGACATACTACACAATATTACTGTTTCCGCTTCTGTCAGTCATAATTCTCCACATTCACGTTTCATTTCTAATTTTCCACCTAAAAGTTTTGGTTTGGGTGTGAAACTTATCGTGACACTTTTCCACTCATTGAAAACTAAGGGGCCGGAGACAAAGCGCACGAGCGATAACAAGGACATACAACTGATTACGAATGGGTAGTGAGTCGGTATGGGGTACAGCTCTATGAGTAGCGGGCGGACTACATACAGTAATTTTTTCCTAACCGTCACCCCTGAATGAACCACCCAAAAGACTGCTCCCCCCCCCCCCCCCACTTTCCCAGCAGTACACAGAGCCATACCTTATCATCAAAGAACATGAGCAACGACTCACGTCACTCCCTGCTAAGAGGCGGATTTATGCGAAAAAGGCGCAAGGAAGCTGCGCAGGAGCAGTGTTAGGCATGCATACGTGTGCGCATTTATGAATGATACGAATAACGGTCATGTTCATCAACTGGTCATGTTCTGAGTTTGCTATTTGTTCTGCTTGCATTGAGTTCACCAAGCTCGGTGGAGCTGGCTGTTGCATTGACTTAAGGAGCCAGCGCCGTTTAGGGGTGACATCCTGCGGGGTGAGATCCTAATCATCAGGCTTAGCATGAGGTCTGACTGCCACCAGAATGTTTATTATAGCATGAGGTCTGAATGTGACCAGGATGTTCATTATAACATGGGGTCTTACTGTGACCATACTGCTTATTATTCACCAGATGAGATGAGGGCCATCGATGTTACAACGTTCTTGTAACATATTACATACTTTTGGGATGGAAAATTAAGCTCTTGGTTTTTGGTAGGTGGTTCTTGTGAAAGTAACGTTACACAAAGTTATATTTCTTGGAGCTGTAGGAGCTTTCAATCGAGACATGTTCTCTTAGCACAGCAGGCAGGATATTTTAAGATTCTGGCAGCAAAGAAAACAAGCAGGAACAGAACATCTTATTGTGAATGTCTTGAATTCAGGGTTACGCGGAACAAGGCGAAGGTGAAATTCGGGAAGCGTTAAAGCAGCAAATAGCTCACGCAGGTATCTTTTTTAATGACTTTTTTGCCTCCTGCATCTCATGGAATTTTGCTTGGGCATGATGTCCAAGACTGGGAGGGCCCTGTGTGAGAGAGCCTAGTTTCAAGTCAAGTGGGGGGAGTGTGACTCGGCATAAACTTGGGGTTCATCTACAAGTTGATATGGCTTAAAACTTCCTTGCTAATGCGATCCCACAGTCATGCTGCCAGGCTTACACATCAGCTCATGAAAAATCCAGGCAACATAGAAGAATAGCAAGAAAATCGTGTAACATATTTTGATTGGCTCCAATGAAAATGATATTGTCACAAATCCGAGAAAGAAATATTTCGGGGCATGCTGGGCTGATCAGCTTAGTCCGACCACCCACCCACCCCCGCCCTCCTTCCCCCTTCTCTATCAGACTGTGAAACTACGCCACACTTTTCAGTCACCGCAAATAAGATCAATAGGTCCATACTGTTGGCCCCTGAAACTTGATTCTGAAAAGGCTTTTAATGCCGGAATAAGTCCGTGCGTACCAAGTTTGAAATGCACGAAAAATAGAACAAGCTGGTGTGAAAACCTGTGGTCTGTCCTCAGAGCTACCAAAGTAGCCGTAAAGTTATAATACTGAGCCGTTTTGCTTTATAATCACGCCCCGTTATCATTTCACCTTTGCGGTGGCTTAAAACTTGATCCAGTGGGCCTAAATCTGCAAACGAAAAAAGACCAATTGGTACCTAACGACAAAAAAGCAAGAGTAAGATCTGCCAGAAATTTGGAAACACTGAGAGAATAGTTCGTTTTTAAAATGGACTGACACTACGAGGCCAAAACCCTCCATCCGTAGTTGATTCCTTTCACTTCCGGATTACACTCGGTTGTAAACCGCTGAGCGTAACAAATTGGAGAATCACGTAAGTTGTTCAGTGCATTTGTGAGGAACTTTTGATGAACCTCGAGTTTATTTAATGCGTCAAAGGTCAGGCCAAAGAGACATTATCTGACCGATTCCATGGCGCTCAATTCTGCTAAAAATCCATAAGGTTGACCAGATTTTGTGTATATTTGACAGTTAATCGATTTGCTGTACAATTGAAAACACCAATGCGAGCATTTGGTAACTTTGGTCAAGCCAGGATAATCCGTGGTCACGAGAGACTATGTCGTATTTGGTCAATATGCAATGCAAAACTGATCTTTAAGTTTTGATTTACGTCTAAAACCCGAAAAGTGACCTAGAATTGCGTATATGTGTGATGTGGAATGATATCTATGGGGCCAAGAACCAAAATGGCATTCAAGCATGCAAAGAAATGGTCGTTTTGGCGTTTTAATGATCGTAAGTGGTCATCTTTTAGCTATCTTTTTACCATTATGCACACTTATTTGCATTTT